AATTTTTTTATCTCATACTTCTTTTTTGATGCAAAAAATGGCATTAACCATATATGTCACTGCAGCTGTGGGTTTGTTGGGATTTCTATATCACTACTGCAAGGACATAATAAATGTGTGAAGTTTCTAGCTTTTTAATGCATAAAATAATATGAATTAGCACAATAAGATGAACGTGATAAGAAGGTATACATGTTAATCAAAACAATTAAAAAATACAAAAACTAATTTTTGTAGGTTTTTGTTGGCTTTAGGGGTTTTATTTAGTTTGTTTTTCGTCATATGTATATTTAAAATTTTGATTTTTTAGTTTAATTTAAAAGTAAAATGGCTGAAATAGGGTAACTTGTTATGAGCATAACTTAAATTTAAAAAGTAAACTTCATAAACATTATCAAGCTATTTGTAGTTCCAAAGCAGTACAAGTATTTTTTTTTTTTAGTAGGAGTTGGTGAGAACAGATAGAGTAAAGTGGTTTTAAATGCAGTGTCGAATTAAGAATTAAACATTTTTTCATTATCATAGACAAGTCAAAAAAAAAAAAAAAAAATGTACTTGAAAGAAAGTTTTTCTGCTTATGAATCACTAGAGAAAAAGTTTGATTTTCCAACTTTCCAACCATGACGGTTCCTTGCATGTCAAATCCTTGTGTAGTATTTATCATTCAGACTTATAGATACTCAATGTCATGATGAAACTGTCCAGTTTTACAAGTTCATGGCAAATAAGAAAATGTATCACCACTAGGATATTTGCATGGAATTTGCGGGAATAAGTTAGAATCAGTTTTTCATGGAATGTTGATATTGCATATCGGATTTATCTAACCCTTTCCATTACCAATTATATTGCAGAGAGAGCATTTTCAAAAATAGCAAGAGTTAAGAATGATCTCCATTCCTTAATGATAAAAGGTCATTTAAACTTTGCCAATGTGAAAACAAGAAAATTTTTCTGTGAATAAAAAAGTAATTTCGTTTTTTGCAGCATTTATTGTTAAATATATTTTTTAGAAATGGGGCCTCCAAGTAATTTTTGCACTTGGCCCTCAATACCCTTAATGAATTATGAAAGGTTTTAATTCTTCAAATCAGTTTCAAGTCAAGCCTCATTCTTCTTCATGGTTTCTTGTTCAACTGCTATTTCTAATCATAATCATTTTTTTTTTTTTAACAGAACAAAAAAAGCAATATGCTTTCGCTTGTGAACAAACAACTTTATTTTATTACAAAAAATCCATATAAAAAAGTGCTGTCTGATGCTAAGCTTCATTATTCTCAGTTAACTAAGTCTCTTATCTTATCTGAAAAGTTAGGTTCTAGAAACTTATGGAAAATCTTGTATTTTAACTGAAAAGTTAAGTTCTAGAAACTTATGGAAAATCTGAAAATTTTGAAGGTTCTAGAAACTTATGGAAAATCTTCAACAGTGTCATTAACAAAGGTCTAAAATTCCATTTCTAATTCAACGGTCTCTCCCAGGGATATGGCATAACTTAACTTCATACTACTGTCTTGACCAAATATCATCACTGTAAATTTTAGCCCCAACAAAACTCAGTTGTTTACTGCAAACAACTATTGCAATATTGTTGACTTTACTTGATGAATAGCAACTCTCTCACTGAGTCCTCTGTTTTAAATCTTCTTGGATTCTCACTGAGTCATCTGTTTTACATCTTCTATCATGCACTTCTGACTTCTTATGGAAACCATGGAAACCATATATACAATCCATTGCAAAGGTAGCATCTACTAAGATTGCTTCTCTTTATCATGCTTGCCATTTTTTTATTCCTGATTCCATTCTCTACCACTACAAATCTCTTATTCGTCCCTGTAAGGAATACTGTTGTCATATTTGGAGTTGTTCTTATAACAACCCTCAGAAATAGGGTTGGCATTCGGCATTGCCGACCTAACTGTCGACCTAAATGTGTGTGTAGTCGGCAAAAAAAATTTGTTTTTGCCAACCTCGTTTCGATGTTTTATGGTAAGACCTTTGTATTTGCCGACCTGATGCCGACCTCTAAAAGATTGAAGTTGGCAAATTATTGCCGACCTCAATATTCTGAAGGTTGTTCTTATAATGAAACTCTTCCACTTTTTGACAAGATCCAAAAACATATAGTAAATGTAGTTAGGCCTGCTCTATATGCCAAGCTTGAATCACTTTCCCATTATCATAATTTCACATATTTCTATTTATTATCATATCACAGTTGATGCCTAAACAAATTCAGTCAACTAAAACTCATTCTTACATGACTCGTCATTAAACAAACTTTTTTTAGTGAATCTGTTCCTTTATTCTTTAAAAACTTTTCTTCCTTTAACTTTTTTACTCACACTTAAATCCTTTGGAACTCTCTCCCATCTACATATTTTCCTGACTCACATTCTTCAACTTTTAAAGTTTTCTGTCAACTGTTTATTTGCTTTTTAACACTGTTTATTTTTTTCTAATAACTTTTCAAATTAATTGTGGTTGCTTGCAGCTTTGTTAGGAGTGAATTAATTTAAAAAAAAATTGTATTGTGTTTTAATTAATGTTATTATAAGTTATATTATTACGTTAATGTTTAATGGAATGTTTTTTAAAAATTCATTTAGAAATGGCTTGATGAAAAAAATGAATTTAAGAAAAAATGTGATGAAAAAAAATCTGATACAAAACAACTCAAGAAGCCATCTTTCGATAAAGAAAGAAGTGAATTAGCTCAACAAGCATTTAATGAATGGCTGCAGTTAAAACGAGCTAATCAAAAAAGAGAAATGGAAATGGAAAAGTTACGATTAGCTGACGAAGCTCAATACTGCATAACAAGAGATAAAATGATGTGCAACAAAGCTTTCAAGGAGTAAGCTTTTGTTTTACAATGAGTTAATTTTTTTTAATTTATATTCAAAATTAGTGAGTTGTTAAACAAATTAAATATATACTGTTATATTTATTTGGGGGGAGGGGGGGATGTAGGGGTGTCCCCTCCCCCAAAGCTGTCATAAGCATTTGAGTTGGCACATCAGATTTGGCACATTTGAGTTGGCACATTTGAGTTGGCACATTTGAGTTGGCACAATAGAGTTGGTACATTTGAGTTGGCACATTGGCCCCAGTTTTGAACTATAGTTGGCAAATTGCAAATATTGAGAACCTTTTTTTTGTTTTTTAGGTGTTTCTAGTTGACAAAAAAATACATACAATCCTTCCCCCCAACCCTCCTCCCATGGATAACCTCTTCGTGACGGCCCTGTTGTTTATTACTTGGTCTTCCTGCATTTTCTGAAAAAAAATGTTATGATTCCACTTGGTGCAGCACTAATGAGAGTTGCGTGATGGTGTTTATAGTTTGAGAATATTGCTTATTGACTGCGATAGCTAATTGACATCTCTGTAAAAACTCCTGTATAGTCTATAATAGCAACGAGCATAAGGGTATAAATCTTTAAAACAACTAGGCATTGTTTCATTAACTAGTTTTCTGTTGGCTATATTGGAATTGATCTAAGTTTTATTTGCATAAAATCATACCGAGTAATTAATATCCTACTGGTAGTACTTGATGAGATATTGAACCATAAAAGATGTCCTTCTTTTGTTTTCATCAGAGTTAAAAGATTTTGAGCTCTAATAATTTTTTAAATGCATTTCTAGTGAAGGGAAGACTAAATAGTTAATAATTTTTAAAATCTGTGTAAAATTTAAAGTGTTTGTTTGGGAGTCGCCCATAAATTACGTCACGCTATAAGGGGGAGGGGGGTTGGTAGTTTTGTTTTATATATATATATATATATATATATATATATATATATATATATATATATATATATATGCCTCAGCGGGAAGCGAGAGCTTTAGCTCTCACTCTTGCCCACACTCCCCTAAAATTTTTATGGCTCTTACAAAAGTATGATTTTTTCTCTTAAAAGTTGTCTTTGTAACTAAAATGAAAAATGCAGTCATTTTTATAAAAAAAAAAAAAAAAAACTGCATCATAATAAAAGTTATTCATTTTTATTGAGAATTTTAATATGTTGAAATAATTCTTAAAATGCCTGCATTCTATTACAATAAGAAAATGTAAAACGTTTTTTATAAGCATTAAAAATTTTTATAGCTCTTTTTCGAATTTTATCAAATAAGTAATGTTGTTAATAAATAGATAGCTAGTGTGAAAACCCAAAGATAATACTCGCTAAATAATTTTTTCATGGCGCAATAAATGATGCTTATTATGTATATATTATTGTAACATTAACATTACGAACATATTCTTGTAACATGTACAAAACCACATTTTATACATAATTAGCAATTTTTTAATAAATAAATAGGCAGCTCGTGCAAAAACTAAAAGCTCTTGTAAGATGTTTAGAGGAGCAGCTCACATGGCTCGCCATGTTGATTTTAAGAGAGCTTTTCTCCGCTCTTGCACTTTTATTGCACATTTACTCCCACCATGGCCTATGTATGTATATATATATATATATATATATATATATATATATATATATATATATATATATATATATATATATATATATATATATATATATATATATATATATATATATATATATATATTATATATATATATATATATATATATATATATATATATATAATAATTATATATATATATATATATATATACATGTATATAATTATTATTATATATATATAGTAATTGATATAATTATTATATATATATAGTAATATATATAATTATTATATATATATAGTAATTGATGCCTTGCAAAAATTTTAATAAAGGTTTTTATGTATAAATTTTCCAAGAATTCAATAAAACATATATATATATATATATATATATATATATATATATATATATATATATATATATATATATATATATATATATATATATATATATATATATATATATATATATATATATATATATATATATATATATATATACTCATATAGTGTCGCTTTAAGAGCATTTTAATGTAAAAAAAGTCTCTTACGACTACAATTTTAATTACCTCGTCTCTTAAGCTGTTTTTGATTGTCATCGAAATGTCAAAGCAATTAATTTATGCGGAAGTACATTAAATTTAATTGTTTTTTAAAAAATTTTTAAAAAACCGCAATTATAACGACTAGAAAGTTTTTTTTAATTAGTGGTGTTTTTGTTATTGATTTAATAAAAAACATTTTTTAAACATGCGTAAATGTTGCTACATCGACTATCTTATAGCCTGACTCGCAACAGAGTGCTGCTACATCGACTGACAAATAGCCTGACTCGCAACGGAGTGCTGCTACATCGACTGACAAATAGCCTGACTCGCAACGGAGTGCTGCTACATCGACTGACAAATAGCCTGACTCGCAAGGGAATGCTGCTACATCGACTGACAAATAGCCTGACTCGCAAGGGAGTGCTGCTACAACGACTGACAAATAGCCTGACTCGCAAGAGAGTGCTGCTACATCGACTGAGGGTTTGGTTTGGCCAGGCAGTCTATCAATTAAAAAAATAAATTTAATATTTAAAACTTTTTCTGGTCTGGTTTATTAACGCGCTCTTTAAAACTACAGTTTATGGGAAATATTTTTTGATGCTACGCAAGAGACATGCAAGACTATATATATATATATATATATATATATATATATATATATATATATATATATATATATATATATATATATATATATATATATATATATATATATATATATATATATATATTAGGGTGATTCATATTTGACGAATTTTCGAAAATCAAGTTGGTCCTACCTGGAATGGTTGACCACCAATATAAAAATAATTTTAAGCCCAAAAATTTTAATGTCACGTGACTTTAAAGGTCCCCGCCGGTCAAATTTGTGTACAAAAACGTATCAAACTTACCCACGGAGCTGATCTCGTCTTTGCTGCACAACTAGTAAAAGTTCTTGACGATCATCCTCGTTGTGAACATTATTCACAAACTCTAATACAAGTTTTACAGCCCTTTCAGAACTATCGTTCACTACTTCAAGTTTACTTACAAAATTGGAGAATGTTTTGAACTGGTCAACATAGCACCACATAGGAGCAGGAGAGTTTAACCAAAGTTTGTCCTCCATTCTTGTCAGGTTTAGCAAACTGAAGATGAACCAAGAGTTCTCTCCGATTAATCGAGCAAGTCCTGGTGGCACTTCTTGTTTAAAATTTAGCTCTTTGATCAAGTTTGACTTCTCTGAATGCTGAAAATGATCAGGAACTGGTATGGAGAATAATGTTTTTGCAATGTTTTCTCTCTCCACATTAGAAAGGTCAGGGTCTAGGAGAGCAAGTGGAACTAAAGTTTCATCTAAGTACCAGGTGTGTCTCTTCATTGACATCATTATGCTTTTAATTCCGTTTAGAACTCTCTTGGAATCAGCGTTGTGTTTCTCTACATGTTCTTTGTACTGCACCATTTGCCAATAAGCTTTTACATCTTGAAATGGTGCAGCTGATGGTAATGAGGTTCTCAGAAACCAGACAGAATAGAAAATCGAGATAAATTCTGCCATTGCCTTTAACTCTTTTCTTTGGGAAACAGTCAAATCATAGGGCAGATGTGTACTCAATGTCTGAATTTTCAAGTAGTAAATGGCTTTTGACATGAACCTAGCATGAGAAACACAGCCAGGAGCTCGAACTTTAAAAAATATTTCAGGATGCAGATACATCAGGGTAAGTTCCAATAACTCCCTATAATCCCCTCTGAGAACAATGTCAGTGTTTAATGCATCCTTGCAAAACTGGATAGTTTCCTCAATCTGGGTAGCCAAGAAAGTATTGCTGGTGGAATTGATATCAAACCTTATTAAATTGGAAGGATCAACAGTTTCCTTGATGCAATTCCAGTTTGTCTGAAACCGTTTAAACATTAAATTTTCTGGAGCTGCTGTTTTGCCTGAGGTAATTTGCTCCCAGAAATGTTTAAGATGAAGCTCATAAATATGCCTCCTGCAGGCAAGCTCTAACAAAATAGATTCCTGTCTTTGACTGAACCTAGTATTGGTTCCTGAATGTCTTCCAGTATTTGAGGCAGTTGTGTCAAAACATAATCCCTTCACATTGTCACATATTCCATAATCTTCCAGTACATTATTCAAAGCTTCATACTGAGCAGCTCCAGTTCCATGCTCCATAGCTGGAATTCCAAGAAGCTTAATGTCTCCATCAATATTAACTGAAACAACAAACCTGTCTCTTTTTTCTTTTTTCCCATTAGTGAAATCTTCTATAATTTTTCCATCAAAGTGAGCTATTATGGGGAAAAGTGCTTTCTCAGCAGCTTTTTTAACCTCCCTTTTGTGCTGTGCAGCATTTTGATGGATGGTTTTCTTTTGTGCTCACCAAATAGTTGATTGAGACAGTAAAAAGTTTTCAACATTTCTACCTGAATTAACAACCAAATCTGTACACACATGCAACAAATCTCTAGAGGAAATATTTTTGGAAACTGAAGTCATGGCAATATCTTGTACAAAATTCTTGGCTAACTGCGACGTATCATTACTTGGACCTGGCTGTTCGAAATCAAAAGAACAATCTGAGTCCATGCTGGTACTTGTATCACTAGTTTCAGAAGAAAGCTCTGTAGTCAAATCATCTCTCTGAGAAAACTGTTCAACACTATGTACTAACTGTGGATGTTTCAATCTTCTCTGTTCTCTCTTCTCAACCCTCCGGTTATATAGCTTGTCTTTTTTACCCAGAGTCATTTTACGTCTGGCCTTTTGATCTCTCAAAAATTTCATATCAGTACGATACGAGACCTTATTAAGGCTTGTCTTCTTTAGAATATCTTGGATATTTGGTTTAGCAATCCAGAAAACTTTATTTCCTTT